GCATCCTTTCACAGGGCAACGATATCTTCACCCATACTTCGGAAACCACTTACAAACTTTGGGGGCATAATCATCATGGATTCTAATAGGTTATGCATCAGATCTTTGGAAAGCAGAGTAAGCAGGAAAGGGAAGCTCTCGGTGAAAGGTAACTTACCCCTCAGGACAACCGAAGCATCACTTTCTGATAAAATCGACTTGAAATGTGAAGTCTTAGAAGTACGAGCAAAGAATATCTTAAGGTGTGTGTTTTGCTTTCATAATTCATCCAAGTCACTCACTCACAAGGGTAAAATGATCATTTACTAAGTATCTATCTATCTATCTCATTCACAGTGGTCAGGTGGATACTCAGCTACAGATAATGGGGTCTATATTACAACCCAACATTTCTGGGAACATCAAATTGAGCCATGGAGAAGCTTATCTACCTCATGAAAAGGGTGGAGGAGCTGCTAATGCTATAAACCGAGAAGCATCAGAGAATTCAAGCATGCCTAATGGTGGATACAATCAAGTGGTTGCTTCAAAATATGTCTCACGTTTCTTAAATTTGAAACCCGCAACTTCAGATACCCCATTTCAGTTTCAGCAGCAACCTTCAGGTCTGTGTCTGTCTGAAACCCTTCTTTATATTCGAGTATTTGTTCAGCTTTCTTCTTGTTATTTAAAGTAAAAAAATACACGAAATCTTTTGAATATACACACACACACACGCACAATAAATACACTAAGGCCTTGTTTCTTTGTTTTATCCCATTAAGTTAAAGCTGTCTGGAGAAAAAGAAATAGCGCCATTGGTGTTTGACTAATGGTATTTGAGTAAACCATGGAAATTGTGGAAAATTAGTTAGGAGTTAATGAGGAAGCCTCTTTTCTTTGTGCAGTGAGTCAAAAAGAGACTCTCTCTCTCTCTCTCTCTCTCTCTCTCTCTCTCTCTCTCGTTGACTTACAGGAGGATTAATTAAGTTAAGTTGATCTTTATTATTTCTGCATTAAGTCAAACATAACAGAAGAGAAGAGTGATATGTAATATAACCAACCCCACCAGTGGGATTCTGATTGATTGATGTGAACTGGAGTCTAGGGGAGAAGAAAGAATTGCAAATTTTTGTCCACTGAACTGAACAGAACGAACACTTGATGTTGGTATTACAGGTAAAGAGGGTGAAGCTGGAAAGGGAATGGGGCAAGTAAATAATAATAATAATAATAGTAATAGTAAACCAAAGTTCGATATTCGGCTGACGGACTTGAAGCTGGTTCTTGGTCCAGAGTTGAGGATAGTTTATCCTTTAATTCTGAATTTTGCTGTCAGTGGTGAGCTTGAATTGAATGGTGTCGCTCACCCCAACTTACTAAAACCCAAAGGCACCTTAATGTTCGAGAACGGAGATGTCAATCTTGTCGCAACACAGGTGACTCTCACTCTCATCTTTCTTAATTTCTTTTTTTTTTGCTCTTCAGTTGGGTGTCTGTATTTTTCTTAAATGCAATAAATAGCAACATACTTCCATGCATTTCTTAATTAAACAATCCTACTTTCTACTTTGAAAAATCTAGTCATCCCAATTTTCACTACTATAATTTAATTGGGTGGCTTTTTCAAAGTATAATAATGTCCTAACAAGAAAAATACAATGCTAATAGAGGATTTGGTGGTTTTTTAAAGGACAATGACTTAATAGGAGAATTTTTATTAATGATAGTACACTGCTGACTGCTGAGTGCTGTGCTGTAAAAGAAATATTAAGTTGTTTATTGTAAATCCTTGCTATTTGAAAAGTCTACCAAGTTATAGCAATGTCATAGAAACACAAGCCAAGTTTCACTGCAATAATGGAGTGTGTTTTAAGAGTAGTGTATCTTAATAAGAATAAATTGAAAGCACAATGCTAAAATGCAATGCCTCAAATCCAATGACAGAAATGAAAGTAGGATGCTATACATATAATCCAGAAAATAAATGAAAGTGTATATATATATATATATATATATATATATATATATATATATATATATATATATATATATCATTGGTATGTATATAGGTGAGGCTGAAGCGTGAGCATCTGAATATAGCGAAATTTGAAGCTGATAATGGATTGGATCCGATGTTGGACTTGGCCTTGGTTGGATCAGAATGGCAATTCAGGATTCAAAGCCGAGCAACTAAATGGCAGGACAATTTGGTTGTCACATCCACACGATCAGTGGAACAAGAAGTTCGCTCACCCTCTGAGGTAGGTAGAAGTAAAATAAATAATATTCTTATTAGCAATTAAAGTTAAGTTGTATATGATATATGAATTTGGTATTGTAGGCGGCCAGAGTGTTTGAAAGTCAACTGGCGGAGTCCATCTTAGAAGGGGACGGTCAACTTGCATTAAAAAAGCTTGCAACCGCCACACTGGAGACTCTAATGCCAAGAATAGAAGGGAAGGGGGAATTTGGACATGCCAGATGGAGGCTTGTGTATGCACCCCAAATCCCCAGCTTGCTTTCTGTTGATCCAACAGTTGATCCCCTAAAATCAATAGCCAGCAATATCTCATTTGGTACGGAGGTTGAAGTCCAGTTGGGGAAACGCCTTCAGGTTCACATCACATCACATTTAATTTCATTAATTTTTATTCCGTGAAATGAAATCAAATTCAAATTCTGTGTGTATTGCATTGGCAGGCATCTGTTGTGAGACAGATGAAGGATTCAGAGATGGCAATGCAATGGACGTTGATTTACCAGCTTACAAGCAGATTGCGTGTCCTTCTACAGTCCGCCCCATCCAAGCGTATGCTTTTTGAATACTCCACTACATCACAAGACTGAATCTGTATTCACTACTGTAGGTCAGGCTGGCAGCCTCTTTAGGTTAGGGATATATATCTAGTATTTCTAGTTCATTTTTTCCCCACTTTCATTATTTGCTTTGCTGCATCCCTCCCTCTCCAATACGTACATGATTGAAAAGAGAGAGATCTCAAGTGTAAAAAATGTGTAAATATGATAGACATTATTGTTATTATTGTTATATTTGTAGTGAAAATCAAATTATGCCAGCACAATCCAAATAGCAACACCTTTTTACCAAAGTATGCATGCAAAAACACAGTTTGTATGTAGGGGTGAGCAAAACTGAAAAACCAACGAAACCGAAACCAAATCCAAACCTTTGGTTTTGGGTTTTAGATTTCTTAAAAGTTAAAACCAAAAAATTTGGTTTGGGTTTGGTTTTGTAAATATAAGAAACCTAACTGAACCAAATTTTATGAAATATATATATATATAGTTTCCCGAGAACTTAAGAACTAAAGGTGGAGTGTTAGATCAAAATTAACCCGTTAAGGACATGATCGTAATCTTACCGTTCTCATGTAATGTTTATTTATTTTTTTGTTTTATTGAACAAAAATTAACATAATAAATCAAATTTCGGATATATTTTTTTAAAAAATAATTGTTTTTTTTTAAATGGAGATTTTAATTTTTTTTTTAGAAAGCATTAATTTAAAAAAAATGATTTTTTTTTAAAAACTGCAATTTTTTCAGAAAAAAAACTGCAATTCTATTAAAAAAACTGTTTTTTTTTTAAACTGCATTTTTTTTTCAAAAAAACAGCAACTTTTTTCAAAAAAAAAAACTACAATTTTTGTAAAAATACTGCGTTTTTTCAAAAAAAAAAAAAAAAACTACAATTTTTTTTAAAAAAACTGCGTTGTTTTTCCAAAAAACTACAATTTTTGTAAAAAACGGTTATTTTTTCAAAAAAAAACTCCAATTTTATTAATCATCGCTACATATGCATATTTTTTTATACTATAATATTCGTAAGTAAATCATAAAAAAAAAATCTTATTTTTATTAATTAATGCAAAAACATCAAAGATGTTCACTTTGGTTTCTCAAAATCTGAAGTTTAATACCCGTGGTTTAGAAACGTCATAGTTGGTCCCTCTGCTTTCAAAACTTTTGACAGTTGGTCATTATTCCTCACACCGTTAGAACCCCACTATTAACTCTTATTTCATTAAAATAATATAAGGGCAAATTCATCTTTTCACGTGTGCCCTCTTCTTTATTGAGGGAAATGATTATGTTACTGTCTTCTTCACATCAACTCCCAAATACTCTTCATCTCCTAAGAGTACAGTGAGTTCATCTTCAGCAAATCACTCTCATCCAAGACATGAAATTGGGGTTTAGGGTTTACATAGCACTAAAGGATAATGGTTCTCTCAATATGGTGTTTACGTGAAAAAAATGCATGCTTAAAGGACTTGCAGTCGAGATACGGTAAGATTTTTTCAAAAAAAAAAAAAAAAACTTCAGTTTTTGTTTTCCTTGAATGTATTCATGAAGATAAATCATCTTCTTTACCCTGTCTATTTTTTGTGTTTGCAGAGGGATATGACAACTATTTCACGTTGAAGATACACTATAGTGGTGTCTTCACCAAGTCACCTAGAAGGAAATACGTTGATGGTATCGTATCATAAGTAGATGACGTTGACACTGATTTATTTTCAGTCAATGAACTCGATGCCATGGTTCGAGAATTAGGGTACAAAGGTGAACAACACTTTACTACTATTTATGTATCCCTGAATTTCCTTTAGACTACGGGTTATTGCCCTTAGGTAATGACCAAGATGTACTTAAATTGGTTTCGTATGTCCCTAAACACAAACTTGTAAAGGTGTATATTGAAATTTGTCAGACTAGGGTACCTACTTATTTTAAGTCTCATTCTAAAGTTGTTATTGAGGAATTGGAACATGAGAGTGTGTCACCGGAACTTAATAGAAAAAAAACCTTGTAGAAGAGAAGTAAGATCGTGTAGTAAAAAGCTTGATTTAAACCACCCTGACAACCATGTTGTTGACTAGTCACATGTAATAGATATGGATGAAAGTCAGGATCATTCAAAGAGTATTGTTCCATGTGTTATGTCACAAATTAGCCAACAAAGTAATGTCATTGATGTGAATGAAGGAGTGATCATGGGCCACATAGAAGAAGTGTGTAAGGGTAATTTAGTCAATCATAGGAACCAATTTTGTGAAGATATTGGTGGAGAACAAAGTGTAAGGCTTGATGAATTTGAAGAGTTTATAGAGGATTATTCAAATTATATTGACTTTGATGCTGAGTACAGTGTACCAAATGGTGAACACAATCAAGTAGAAATGGAAATTATAGAGGGCATGTTAAGTGATGATATTGGAGATGCTTTCTATATTCAGAATGGAGATGGTTTTGATTATAGTGGAGATGATTCTGATGATAGTGACTACATTGTAGATGGGTTTAATTTGCAATTTGATGTGGATGTAGATGAACATGGAATTATAAACAAGAAAACTGAAAATGTAGGTAACGACATAGTTCATGAAGAGTGGAAGCTATTCAAAGTGATGATTATCAGTATGCAGGATTTTATGAAGATGAAAGGACAAAAATGCTTAAGGAGTTGAGTAGGTCAAGTCCATGCTCACATGGGGACATCCATTTAAAACCATATAGGGTGGGGCAGTGTTTCAAAACGAAGAAGGAGGTTGTGGATTGCATGCATTCACATGTTGTAAATACAAGAAGGTCCCTATACTTAGCAAAAAATGATAAAATCAGGATAAGGGTCAAATGTGGAGGTGTTGTGGGCCAATCTACTGAAGCAGTTGACTGTGGTGGGCCATCAACTAGAAGTAAGGTAAAGTGAAAGGGCAAGAATGTGATTAATAAAAAAAGGAAAATATCCTTCGGCGGTCCAAATCTCGAGGCCAGATGAGAATAATGATTGGTTGGTGAAAACAGTACACGATGTCCATAAATGTTTGCAGACGAGATCAGTTAAAGCTTGTACTTCCAAATACTTAGCAAACTTAATTGTTCCACAAATTCAGAGGAATCCTAAAATTCCAATCAAAGCTTTACACGAGGAGTTGTGTAAGAAGCTGGAGCTTGGTATGTCAGTTCAAAAGGTTGCTAGGGCTAAGCAAATAGCTGAACGTGTGATTAGTGGGGTGTCATAACTAGAAATTCTAATGCTTCTGAAAACATTAGCAATGATAACATTCATAACTAAAACTTGAAAGTATGCATGATGTTTGTTCAATGACACCAAAATTTCATCAAACACTCTATACAAACACTCAAATAGTCAACAAAAGATTGGAAACCCTAGAAATCCCGATTTAAGTCTAATATGGACTAGGATTTCCTTATTGGGCCTAATGGACCAATAAGCTTCCAATTTGACTATTTTGGGATTATAACTGTTAAATGGGCTCTAATTGGACCTACTCTCATGAGACTTAACCTTTTGGGCCTTATAAGTCTAAAATGGATTAGTTTACCTTTAATAAGCCTTGTTGGGCCATGACAAATCTACTTAGCCTTAATGGGCTGAAATCCATTCTTTTATGCAAGATTTGGGCCATGAACTACTTTAAAGGCCTAATGGGTTGAAAACCATAAAATGGGGCCTCATATTATGAGACTCAAGCACAAAAGGCCCAAACCATTCTCTTCCTTATCTCTCTTTCGGCCCAAGTAGAAAAAAGGGAAAGATGTAAAATGGGGAGGGTTGACTTTGGGGGGTGCCACCTCCTTATTACACCTCATATCTCCATGCATGGACCAACATGCATCTATAAATTTCACTTCTCTATCTCCCCTCTCTTCTTCTACTCGGCCGAGAACCACCAAACACACACACATCTTCAAACTTTCATCTAAAACACTCTCAAGCACACCCTCTTCTCCATCCAAATTTCGAGATCTTGGAATATTTCAAGGAGGCTCTTCCATAAGAATCATCATCTTTGTTAAGTTGTTTATTAGATCCATAACCTGATTTCTTTATTTCATCAAAACCTCTTCCTAACTCATACAATTTTCGTGATCTACTCCTTAGAAGCTTCATAAATTCAAAATCAACTCTAGGAGGCTTGCTAGGACCAAATATCTTCTTCAAATCTTCCTCAAAACCGAAACAACTAAGCAAGGTGAGTTCATACCCCCTTGTTTTCGGTTTTTACTTGTTTTTGGGGGGAGAATACAAGTATTATGTGATGATCTATGTGTGTTTGCATGCTATATGTGAATTCTTTAGTTTTTGGTTGTGATAATACGAAATATTTGTTATATTTCAAAATCTATAACAAAAAGGGTGAAATAATCATGAACAAAAACTTGATAAACAAACATATATCATAGATCTAAGGGTTCTTAAGTTAAAGAGGTGAAAAACAAAACCAAAGAACCTTACAAGCATCATTTTTGCCAACAAAGATTGGGTGTAAATTGTAAACTTTTGGTTTTATGGAGGTTATAAGTTTTTTATTAGTGTAAAAATTGATTTTTATGACAACCATACTTTTCAAAGGGTCAAAAACATAAAATTTGGCATATTGGGCTTTACATTGGGCCTCACGAGATTTTGGGCCCAAAGTTGCAAAAAAGGAAAATTTGAGGGGGTTGAACTGGAAAACTTAACAAACTATGAGTCTAAAACGTAAATAAACTTTTTCAGGGGTTGAAAATGAAGTTATTACTAAATTGGACTAAAATGCAAAGTTTTTTATTTTAGGGTCAAAATTGTAAAACTTACGGAAATTGGGCCAAAAATGTAACTTTTTACAAATAAAGGTTGGAAATGACAAATGTAATATTTTGGACTGAAATTACTATTCAAATAAAGTTTGGGTGGAAAATGTAAATAAAAATGGTTTAAGAACCAAAAATGTCAATTTTCATAAAAAAGGACTAAAACTGTCACTTTTATAGAAAAAGGGGCCACAATGGTTAATCTAAATGTTTTTGGGCCAAATAAATGATTATAACTTTCGGGGTTAAAAATATGGGTTAAAAATATCAAGTTTATAATGCATGGTTTTAAATATATATATATATATATATATATATATATATATATATATATATATATATATATATATATATATATATATATATATATATAAAAACTTTGTTATAAATCAAATGTTAAAATATTTTGTTATTGCGAATAAACATTTAACATACCACGAATACCAATAATACGAACTTAAACTCGATAAAATAATAAGCGATTTAAAAATTAGGGCTCAAATACCTTCTATACGTGTTATTGGGCCTTTGTGGCCCAATATCATCTTTATTAGGCCCGATATATTCACACATGTTTATTGGGCCTCCTGCGACCCAATTACATGCCTAAGGGACCCTCAATGGCTTTTACATGCTATTGGGCCTCAGTGGCCCATTGACATTGCTAGTAAGGTCCAAATCAAACATATACATGATGGCCAACGTGCCCGTCTCATACTCGACAACCTATAATAACATACATGATTAGTGGGCCTCTGTTGCCCTCTTCTCTTCGTCTGTTAGGCTTATCTCTATTATTCAAGTAAACATAAAATTAGGTTGATAAACAAGGTTATTCAAATTCAGTTGGATTTACTGGGAAATAATGGGTGACACTATTAAGTGTCGGTCGTAGTTTATAGTTATAACCAGAGTCTCCTGGAGGGAGAGCGATGGTTTGTGTATTCTATACGGGGGTGACTCCCCCACACCTGAGCTGTTTGCTATAGTTAGACTCGGCCAGTCTAGGGTGACAAAATCTTAAATCAATTCCGGCATTCGCTAGAATGCCAAGATAGGCGAACTAGTCATTATTATGTATGGTTATAACGACTCATATAGAGATCCAACACCATCAAAGTAATAAGGGGAAAACATATTTATTCGATTGTGACGATACAATAATATAAAAAGATCATACTGTCTAAGTCGGGAAAACATCGGGTTTTCCTCGGAAACAACATTATTCACTTTTACTTTCAACAACGATAACACAAGAATTCATTATGGGAAACATATCACTTTTACATGTTTGAAATCATTCATGCATATACTTATGGATCATCGCACCTATTTCATAAACAATTGTTGTTTAAGAAAATATCGGATTTTATGGGTTTTACAAACAATACAAACTATTTTTATATCAAACATGCTTATGAACTCACCAACATTATATATGTTGAATGTTTTCAAAATAACTTGTATTCTCAGGTACCCGTTAGAATGAAAAATCATCAAGTGTGTTTTCAAAATTTCTTTTGTGAGACGTCAGTTATCAAACCATTTAGAATGAAGAATAATGTCAGTTGTACTATGTAATGTTGGTGATGTATGTGCTTTCTTCATGTATATTCATTGTGATGATATTTCAATTACACGAACCCCCGGACGTTTCCGCCGTTTGGTTCGGGGGTGTGACAGGCGACTACCAACTACAATATGGGTATCTGAGGGATTATGCTTTGGAACTGATAAACACTAATCCTGGTATAACTATTAGGATAGATGTGTATCCTGAAACATGCTTGTCGACTACTACAAGCACTTTTAGAAGAATATATGTTTGTCTAGGTGCATTGAAGTTGGGATTCAAAGCTAGGTTAAGGGATTTCCTGGGAGTGGATGGTACATTCTTGAAAGGCCCATATCTTGGGCAAGTACTAACTGCTGTGGGTCTAGACTCAAATAATGGAATGTACCTTGTAGCATATGCAGTGGTAGAGGCAGAAACAACTAGTTCTTGGACTTGGTTCATGGAACTGTTAGGAGAAGAGTTGGAACTGGGAGAAAATTCAAATTTTACTTTCATTTCTGATAGACAAAAGGTATGTTTCACCTAATTATTTCTCATGTTAGTGTACCTTACTTTCTATTTGCATAAATGAAACTGACTATATTTGCATTTGTTAAGGGGATAATACCAGCAGTTGCAAAGCTACTCCCCTATGCATAACATAGGTTTTGTTTGAGGCATATTCAGGAGAATATGAAGAAGCAATGAAAGGAAAAGAGTTGACCGACAAGGTTTGGGAATGTGGTAGAGCAACACATTAAATCACATTAAATATGCAATGGATGATTTGAAGAAAATGGATGATGAAGCTCATTCTTGGTTGTGTAAGATTCCTGTAGAGACATCGTCTAAATCTCACTTTAGTGGTATGCCACTAAGAAGTTGTTGAGTTTTATGTTTTAATATAAAATATGTAATTTTCTTTTTGAATATGTTTTACACCGGTAGGGCACACACTGATTGTTTGTTGAATAATCTTTGTGAGGTATTCAATGCTAAGATAGAGGAAGGTAGGGATAAACCAATCATCACCTACTTAGAGTGTATTAAAGAGTAGCTCATGAAGAGATTGTGTGTTGTGCAAAAGGAAATAGATAAGTGTCAAGGGGAACTAAGTACTACTGCAACTATAATTTTAGAGGAGATTAAGACTCAAGCATCAAAGTATGTACCTAAGTATAATGGGGCAGGAAAGTACCAAGTTGCAAGCACATGGCAGGATCAGTATGTGGTGAACCTAAATGAAAGAAGCTACACTTGTAGGTTTTGGGAGATTACAGGTTTTCCATGTAGGCATGTTGTTTCTACTATATG